TGCACCTTAAACGCAATGAATTCGATCCGTTTTTAAAACGAATCATAACTGGAGATGAAAAATGGATTGTTTATTTTGAGCTGCTTCCAAGGAACCAAACGATTAATTCGGATGTTTACTGTCAACAATTGAACAAATTGAATACAGCCATCAAGGAGAAGCGACCAGAATTGGTCAATCGCAAAGGTGTCATATTCCACCAGGACAACGCTAGACCGCACACATTTTTGGTCACTCGCCAAAAACTGAGTGAGCTTGGATGGGAACTTTTGGTGCATCCACCATAAAGCCCTGACCTTGCACCATCAGACTACCATTTATTTCGATCTTTGCAGAATTCCTTAAATGGTAAAACTTTCGGCAATGATGAGGCTATAAAATCGCACTTGGTTCAGTGTTTTGCAGATAAAGGCCAGAAGATCTATGAGCGTGGAATACTAAATTTGCCAGGAAGATGGCAAAAAGTTATCGAACAAAATGGCAATTATATATTTGATTAAAGTTCATTCTAAGTTTTATTAAAAATGCATTTACTTTCTTTTAAAAAATCCGCAATTACTTTTTGGGCAACCTAATATTTAGAACTGCAAATGAACGAAATTCTGTGTCACAAATATAAACGAAAAGGTGGATACGAGCAGTGGTCGTGATTTCGGTCACTGCCGTATACATAAACCACCTCCTTCTATCTCAAGCATAATTAGTGGCAATTTTCAATTAGCATGGGATGCTTTATATTCCCGGTGCGAAAAAAAGCGCCAATCAGGTGGTAATAAATTCACAACATTATTGAACTTAGTCAAAGCTCGAAGAAAATTCGTGGAGAGATCATTTGTATTCCAAAATCGCAAATTTGTTATCAGTGCTCGAAATTCTCAGCACACCTCTAACAGCTTGGATCAAATTCTGATAAATGAATACTGTTCCTGTTTACCAGAAAATATACAATCGTATCCCGGAAGCAATGCGCAACTTAGCAGCAAAAGAAATAATTCCTTTATAGGCAATTCTAAATTAAAGAAAGCATTGAATGTAAACTTTGAAAACCTCCTAACAGAACTCCACTTATTCTTTCAAACACCATACTACCAGACGTTCAAATTGTGTCCTTGCCTTCCCAGTTCAATGCAATATCTACTAAGACCTCCCCAATTCAATTTATACAAATAAGCATAACTTAGACCTTCCTTAGTCAAAGTACGCACAAAATTCTAACGCTCACCCCAGAACAAAGTTCACAATCGCTTAGCAGACGGAATAAGAAGTCGTGTTGCTGCTTTACTCACGAGAAGTTATCATACCCTGATTACTTCAAAGTAAGGTTTTGCTCAAAGACCCCACTCAACAATCCCTCCCAACAATATACAGAATAATTATAATGCAACAATTAAAAAAGGCAATTTTCACCGCAGGAGAGTTCCAATTTTATCTTTGTAGGTGACGGACAGCATAGGGATGTATTCCACTTCATAAAATTTTAATTTTAATTTAAAATTCTATTAAATTAAAACCTAACCTTCTATTCAATTTAGAATAAATAGTTGATTTATATAAACAGAACAGTCTGGTACTAGAAGTCTTTTCTTAAGGATACTCCTGCGAAAGCCAACGGTTATCACTAAATTCCTCTGGCGTTGGAAAATCTTTAGGGCGTTCACTAGGCAGAACAGTGCCTCTCACGGCATTTATGACTGCGCCCTTAGCTGAGCTGCGACCATGACCCGGCCGGCTTGCTTGCTGGCGCGACACTGATGTCTTCGTCGTCGGTTTGTTATCAGAGGTGGTGTGGCAGTAGATTGTTTTGTGGCTGGATCTATTCAATTCTCTGCTTATGCTCTATGTACCGTTTATGCCCTCCATTGCTTTGCACGCTTATCTTTTGCGAGTTTTATTTGCCCTCAAGCTTACTGCTTATTGTAGTGCGGCTCTTCTCAGTCCTTTCCCAAATGTTGGTGTCGCTTCTTTGGTACAGAGTGTGCTGGCTCGAATTTTGGATAAATTAACATTCCCTACCTTTCGGGCACGTTTTTGTTACTGTGGACGTAATTTTCTTAGGATACCTTTACTTGATAGCTCAGTACAATAAAAGACAAACTTATTTATATCAAGCGAAACTGAAATTCGCTATTCGTTCCATTGGACCTCTAGATTATGATAAAAGTTTATTGGAAAGGCATTGATTCGGACATTTTTCATTTTTATTTTTACTAAAGATTTGAGAAAAGTACATTTTAAAAAATACCAAAATTTTAGCCTTAAAAACTATTTTTAAAACTATGAGTCATTTCCGACATAAGCAGTTGGTACGTTTTTGCAGGCACAATATTTATCGCAGTGTTTACATCCTTTGGAGTTTGGTATATGGTACAGTCCATATTTGTAAAGGACAGTAATAAGGACAGAACTGGACAATGATTTATGATAAAATGATCTGCAACTGATCAAAAAAAAAGTTGCAAAAAAAGTCATTCCAGCACTGTGATTTGGGCCAGATAGTTGCGAATAACCATGAAAATGGTAATACGAAAGGCGGTTTTCAAGTGCAAACATCTAAAGCTAATGAAAGCATAATTCATTGTAATATAAAGATTTCATGAAAATTGTATTTATTTTTTGGAATTAAAATGTGTATATAAGAGTTTCACTAAAGTTGTGGTCCCTTGCAACTGGCGACAACAACAGTACTTTATCCCAAATGTTTCTTATTTCTTGGTCATAAGTTGTAACTGAAACTTAACTGGCAAAACACTACACTACACTACTACTCTATATATTTATATAAAATATTATTATTATTTTTCTTCAGAAATAAACGCACTTCCGCAAAACAAAAGATATTCATTCTTTCGTATTTTGCAAGAATCTGATCGGACACGACTTCAGAATTCTCTGGCGAGTGCGTATTGGTGTCCAATCATTTGGCACCGCCCCCATTACTCAAGGGACCAAGTTGTATAGCGCACGCCACCATGCCACATCAACTACACCGCGATAAGTTTCTCCCTCGACGTATAAAGAGAAAGGCGACACTACTTTTTACGAAATTCCGTTTCCCTAATATTTGTTATTGGAAGAATCGTTTTGTAGGAATCCCTCCGTTTGGAGACTTATATCACTGGGTAGGGACACGCAATGAATTCAATTAATGGTTTGGTGTTAATTCAGAGTCTAAGCAACGGGTTAGTCGTGACGTAGTACTTTTATCAAAACAGTTATATCCGGTGAAGAAAGGAAAATTCAGACACAAAAATTGTCCAATTAATTCACACAAAACATCAGGGATGGTCATCGCGAATACGAGGCTGTGTTTTTCTTTAATAGGCCACTGCTTGTTTCAGCCAAACTAATTGACCAACCCTAACGAAATTTGACACATAAATGTTTCTAAATTGTAAAAATATATTGTTAAAATATTTACACTTTCATCACAAATTGCAACTTAGCACGTGGACTTATTTAACACACATGATGTAAAATAGTACCTTCAATCTGATCACATACGATTACAAAGACTGTTGCAATTTTATTTTATTTGGTTTTACTGCTACGCAATATTTTATTTTTGTATATTATTTCTTTACTTTGCAAGGCGAAGCCAATGCTATTTTTTGCAAGTATGGTATCTTTTAAAATTAAAGGAATAGGAGCAAAGCAAAATAACGGCAAAATTTCGTTTTTATTTTTTCGTGTGAGAAATTAAAAACCGTTATATTTAATAGTGAGAATCAGTGTGATTTTTTGAACTTTATATTTGTTTTCAAATTTCATTAAAATGAGTGATACCGAGTATGGCAAGTTTAATTGCGTTTAAAGTTTTATGAATATACATATATGTATAATTTTTTTTATAGAGTCTGACGTTCCATCTACCAGCGCAGCGGCTGCAAAAGTGTGCGTTTTACAGTGAAAGATTTCCACAATATGTTTATCATTTGAAGGGGCGCATAGGATACTGCTTCGCAGTAAATTGTGTCCCTCTCATAGGAAGCCCATTTCTTTGACAAACTAAGAAAACGATGTTCTCGGCAGTTTTTAGTGCCGCGAAGGCAAATGTAGGGAGATATCTTTCGTATCAAGGGCAAAAGGCACCTGGCTTGAGGAAGCTCGCCTATCCCTTTCACATATTTTTTACGTCGTGCATTACTTTGCTCATAAAAAGTCCCAATTCAACGTAATGCTGGACGATTATGTTGTTGGACCTTTGTCGAGCCGGACTGCAGGGAAACCGCGGCGTTGTACCAAATCGACCAGCAAACAACTGAGTTGAAAATTGGTGGTCCGAGGAAGATAGTACAAATCGATGATAGCATATTTGGGAAAAGGAAATATAATGAAGGTAATAGTTAAATATTTTCTTATTATGTAGGCTTAACATTGTTTTTAATTTTTTTAGGGAGAAGATGCTTGTACCCCTTATGTAGTTGAAGGGACCATCATAAATATCGATTGCTGGAAAGCATATAATTGTCTCTCCGTGTTTCGTGTACTAAACGAGTGACAAATACGTTTTGATTTGTAAACATATGTTATACGAGGGGATTAACAAAAGTTCGATTAGATGATCAGAAAAAAAAAATTAATATTATCTTTGTATTTATTTGTAGTCTTTGTCCCTTTTTATCTTCTCAGCATAATCGCCATTGATTTCTTAAGCCTATAAATCTACTTCTGTAAACAGTTTTCAAAATCTTGCTTCTTGAGCTTATCAAGTTCAGCATTAACCGCATTAATTATCTCCTAGATTCTAGTAAAGACCTTTTCTTTTATTTTTAAATAAAAAAAAAAAATTACTTCTTATTTCAGTAGTGTGGGATGGCGCGTTGTCATGATGTAAAAAGTAACGCCGCAAATCCTCTTTCTTGCTGTTTTCCACTAAAATGTTGGAAATTTTTGATAGCCATTCTCCGGTGTATCGTTTTGTAGTTATCGTCTGACCTTTTTCCAGTGGAATAGCAGTAAAATAAACTGACATCATTAATTTTGATGCTGATTTTTGTTGTTTGGATTTTACGGGTTCGCTCCTGTTGGGCTCCATACCGTGGACTGATGTTTGGTTTCTGGATCGTACTTATGAAACCAAAAATCGTCACCAGTAAAAACTTTTATAAAATTTGCTTAACTGCATATTTTCGAATTTGTTCAGGAAAAAATAAAAATTCTACCCATCGAGCAGATTTCTTCGTGTATCTGGGATTACTTAATACTCGTGGTCAATCATTTCTTGTGTCAATCGTGGGTCTTGTCGACTATCTCGGGGCTCGTCCCCTATGGAAAAATGTCCGGTCTGGAATCTTCGGAACTACTTAGAAATAGTCTTTAAAGACGGTGCAACCGTTGCGTATGCAGTTTGGTATTCACAGAATTTTTTTTATTGGTTGTGAATTACGCCGAAACCTGAAAGAATTTAAAAGTCACCAACTAATCCTCTCGTATGTCTACGTCTGACGGCACCTTTATTATAACTCAAATTGTGTAAATGCTCTCTGATGATAACATTTTCTGACAATGCGCTGAATTTTTCAGGAATTTCAAAAGCGTGCTGACCTACTTATTATATTTCTAATTTTATTTGATCACAAAACTTATCTATGTACAGAGAATGGAAGCTTACAACATATTATTAAAATACTTTTCTGGATACCTTTGCACATGTATAGTACTTAGGCTTCTTTTCACATTTGACAGCTATTAATATTTTATAAAAAATATATTCACATTCTAAAATTCAATTAGCGCAACAATTTTAAATTTAATAAATCATAATTTAACTAATTTATGCGCTATGATATCTATATACATATTCTTTCATTTTTTGCAGACAGATATTTTAACATCCATCAGATGTTTTGGACTTCGTGTATTTAGTACTACTTTTCCATAAAAATAACTTCGAAAAATAAGGAGAAGCAATGGAACTAAAATTTTTTTTAAATCAGTTGACGATGTAAATGTTATGTGGTCTCATAGCTTGTTAATAGAGCTGCATCAACCGGCTCCATACAGCTTGGGCAAGTTAGACTTCTCATGAGCCAATCATCGATGCAATGAACATGGTATATATGCATGCACGGTAAATATCGTACAGCCTCATCAACACAAAAATCTATCATACAAATAACACATTCCCGGGATTTTTTAGATCCATCATAAGTACCGATTGGTAGATGCTGAATCAAGCCAATTCGTTTTGCTATTTTCACTTGTTCCTCTTCAGTTAAATGAGACACAGGGCGTCTCACTGATGGAGATGGAAAGAAAATTGGCTGAAGAAGTTCCTGAAAAATTTTAAAGGAAGTATATAAAAATGTAATTTGAAATAATAAGTCAGGTACAAAAGTAGCATATGCATAGTTTTAAACTTTATGAATTAACCCACATACAAATTTCTGCTTTCATTGGATGCCAGTAATGGAATTCAGTAATTTTCGTCGATACGAAAAATATGCGAAAAACAAAGAGGAATTGCAAATATAAAGCAAATTCGCAAAGGCATATATTTTAAATAAATGAGTTGCAATAGGTTACAAAGCTTATTAAAACAAAAGCATGTTATGGTTTCCACTTTCAAAACTATCAGGAACGATTGGAACTTTTACGCATTTCATTAGTGTTAAGACCATCGTGGCCTCAAGCTAGAAAAATGCGGGATACGCAAACCCCAAAAAAAATTTCTACTTAATCTAGTATTTACAAAACACATTGAAGTACTGATAAAAAAAAAATGTGTTGCTTACCGAATATATAGGAGCTGGGTCATTTTGATCGGGTGCAAAATCTTGTGTGTTACTAATTTCTCCTCCTTGTAGTAGCGATATATCATCAGAGTTGTTTATTTTGAGACAGTTACCCATTTTTTAGCCTTGAGTGTATAGTCAAATAGTATTTAATAAAAGCATGTAGTTGGAGAAACACAGTTCTAAAATACAAAAGTTTTTCATACTTATCGTTTACGAAAAAAATGTTAGTGCAGTTTATTTTAGAATTACTATTTAAGCTAGGATATAAGTATTTTTAGAGAATTAAAGAACCAAGACATGCCAGAAAAAAGCAAGGCTGCATCGTAACGATAGATTTCACGTTGATCGAAAAATTTCTATCGTTTCGGATGAAATATTTGGAAACATTAAAGTTAAAGCAGATGTATAAAAATTATTTTCTTTTTTACCCGAAACGGAAAGCTGAATGTTGAATCGTTAACAGATAATGCTAAAAGTTGCAATCGAAGTGTACTGCAAAATCATAGCAAGAAGCCGTTGAGTAACCGATTAGTACTCGTAGGGTGCAGACATACTTCTTTCTGTTCATCCTTATTTCGTTATCTTTGCGCTGTTCTTTTCGACACACAGTCTTTCTTCCGTGCTTGGCATATACTTGTTTTTCTATTTCCCTTCCTCGATTCCGTTATTTGCTATTTTAGCAGGCAGTCCGCAAAGAAAAAAAAACGTGGTAGCCGAATTAAAAAAAGAATCCTTAAATACTTATTCTGTCTTCGCAATACAAAGGGTTCTGTATCTGATAAGAAAGGAAATAATTTCCATACCAGAACTAAGAGATGTTAATTTGTTGTTCCTAGTTAAGGATTTGACCATAGCTAAAGTCTTTCTGTCAGGAAAGGAGCTTATAGAAAATCTGTCTATTTGTACCAACTACCCGAAAAAATGATATTTCATGGCGTTCAGTAATGGTTAGAGATTATTTAACCAAACCAATAATAAAAATAACAATAAGTTCAACATATACCCTCCAACCGACAAGAGGGGCAACATCCTTATAAAGTACGGAATATGCCGAGTCATGATAGGGAAACGTTTCTTCAATAATTATTCTACATCTGAAATTTGAATTTTTTGCTGAAATGAAAATTAAATTTGTGACACAATCGACGAAAATGTGCTGTAAGATTTGCCACCTGTTCGACCACACCGTCAAACAATGCCGAAACAGTCCGAATTGCGCTTTCTCAAAAGAATGCACGAAATTCATAGAACAAAAAGAAAATACTAACTATTTAAATAAAGAACAAGTACCAGCCATCGTTGTCGAATTTGTGCAATGCGAAATTTCGGCAATCGGCACATGATCTATTGAAGGAACATATACTAGAGAAGACTCCTCGTTCAAAACTTCAGCAACTCTCTCAAATCTGTTGCCGTATTGTTGCGGCTTATGTCGCACTGCGGTTTATTGTTATCATCATTCACACCAAATATAGCAACAGGTTGGATTTAACAGCTCTTCAGTATTCATATTTCTGACAATTATTATTATTTGTGTTGGATAACGCTTTTTTGGAAGCCCTAGCTAAATGTGGCTTTTTTCAAATCTGCCACAAGAATCTCAAATTGATGTAATTGATTGATGATTTGTGTAACCCTATATGAAATTATCGTGGTACTAAATGGTGGATATACATCAGCACACAGAAGTTTTTCACCCATCAATTTATCTACATATTTGTTCTCCTAAACTTATACTTAAAGGTTCGCGAAAAGCTCTTGAGCATCTGCATGGAAGAGATTTTTTCCCGGTAATCATTGGTATTGTCGCAAAATTACGATTCGATTAGAAGCCATACCAAAAAGTTAATCAAGAAGCAGCCAACATAGCAAAAATTGTCCAGTCTTCGGCAAACTACTCAATACTACAAACGAAAAGTGTCTTAACAAGAGCAGCGATACCAAGGTGAAATTTGCAGCTTGCGAACCTAAAAATGAAGAACAAGGATACTCACGAGTGCATTATAGAACGAATGAAAATTTAATTTTATACAAAAAAGCCAATTCGCTATTTAAAAAAGCTTTTAAAACCGCTAAAGCCCAATATCAGCATCAAAACGGTCTGGTCAGACAGCAATAGGTTAGACAAAAAGCAGATCTCACCTCAACCTCTATCACTGAACTCTACAACCAAGACAGCCTACTTAGGCCTTAAAACCCATACGGAGTGGACCACAAGTTATGTGGCCCCATGCTGCTGTGCAATGGGGTGTAGTCCAGCTTCTGGGGTGTAATAAAGTGTAGTCAAGCTTCTGGGTATGCTGTTACACTTACGAGACTATACTCACTCCCTACTCTTGCGTCCACGTTGCGCTCCCTGGAAACGTGAGCAACCCTTGTGCAAGATACGGTAACCAACCCGTGGTGGAGTTTACGCTCACGGCTAATGAGGGAGGGAGCTTCAGTGGAGCCACTTCGACTTATACGGTTTAAGGGTCTGCTGCAGTCTAATTGTAGCGTCTGTTCACCAGAGGTGCGGTTGCGAGCGGGCGTCGGTCTTAAAGCAAGCGGCTCGCTATATAAATTTGTTAAAAATACTTTAAACATACTTGCCTAGCGGGGTTGTGCGTTGGGTTTTGGACCCGCTACGTAGAAACCAGCTCCAAAAAAGCAAAGAAGGTATCTTTAGTACGACTGTCGGACAATTCAGCGTTCACAACGAAACAACCTCTAATGGGTTGAGGCTGATCGTCTTCGCCGGGGTCCGAAATATGGTTGTCTGTAGTACTAGATACCAGCACAAAAAAATACATCAAACTACTTGGCTGTCCCCTAATCCTAAAACAAAAAACCAGATCGATCGTGTTGTGATACACAGAAGACATGTTTCCAGTGTTCTTGACGTGCGTACAATCCGAGGACCCAACATCGACCCGGACCTTTATCCTGTCGCAGCAAAGATAAGCATGCGCCTCTGTGCATCGAAGAACGCCCGTCACCAAACACAAGGAAAGTTCGACGTTGAAAAGCTGAAATCACAACAGACTGCCGAACGATTATCTACTCGACTTGCACTCCTGCTCTCTGAGAGCGCTCATCAGCAACTTGGTATACGGGAACTGTAGGACGGCATTTCAAGCTCCCTACGTACAGCAGCAAACGAAACTATTGGATTTCGTAAATGTGGCGAAAACAGCTGGCATGATGAGGACTGCCGTTTTGCAGTGGAGAGAAAATAGACTGCCTACCTCGCAACCTTGCGATTGACCAAAACACATGAGTGAAGGTATAGATACCGAGAGATGAGGAGGGAAGCAAGACGCATATGCAGACAAAAAAGAAAGAGGCCGAGATGCATGAGTATGAAGAGCTTGAGAAGCTGGCCGACAAGGTTAACGCTCTAAAAATCTACGAAGAGATACGACGACTTACGGAAAGTTTCAAGACCGGAGAAGACTCTTGTAGAACACAAAGAGGTGATTTATCCACCGCTGTCCAGAGTATATTGAATTTATGGAGGGAACACTTCTCCAACCTGCTTAATAGTAGTGAAAATGGAGAATCTGGAGAGGGCGAAGCCGAAACCCCAATCGATGACGATGGAAAAGACGTTCCATTACCTGACCATGAAGAAGTTCGAATAGCATTTGTCCGCTTAAAAAACAACAAAGGGAAGGGAGCTGACGGCCTAACGGCAGAGCTATTCAAACATGGCGGAGAAGAGCTGACAAGGTGCATGCATCAGCAACTTTGAAGAATATGGTCTAACGAAAGCATGCCCCACGATTGCAATTTAAGTGTGCTCTGCCCAATTCATAAAAAAGGGGGCCACACAGTCAGTGTCAATTATCGTCGGATAAGTCACCTTAGTACCGCATAAAAGGTCCTGTCGAGCGTATTGTGCGAAAGACTGAATCCCACCGTTAACAAACTGATCGAACATTATCAGTATGGCTTCAGATCTGGTAAGTAAAGCATTGACCAGATATTCACAATGCGCCAAATTTTGGAAAAGACCCGTGAAAAGATGATCGATACACACCACCTCTTCGTCGATTTAAGAGCCGCTTCGGCAATACGCGAAACTTATACGGCTGTGTAAGCTGACGCTAGACAACACCAGAAGCGCAGTCAGAATCGGGAAGAACCTCTCCAAGCTGTTCGGTACCAAACGATTTTTCAGACAGGGGGATTCCTTGTCGTATGATTTCTTCAATTTAATGCTGAAGAGAATAATAAGAGCTGCAGAGCTGAATAGAGAAGTTACAATCTTCTATAACAGTGTACAACCACTTGCGTGCGCCGATGATATTGACGTTATCGGCCCCAACAACCGCGTTATGAGTTCTGCTTTCTCCAGGCTTGATAAAGAAAAGAAGCGAATGGGTCTGGTAGTGAACGAGGATAAGACGTATCTCCTGTCATCAAACAAACAGTCATGGCATTCGCTGTTGACAGTCATAACTTTAAAGTAGTAGATAATTTCGCCTATCTAGGAACCAGCATTAACACAAATAATAACATAAGCCTCGAAATCCAGCGCGAAATCACTTTTTCCA